TAGAGTTTCCTACAATCTGAAGTCTGATTGATTATACTCCTGGGTGCTGTTTTACATGTTCTTCTGTCGCAGAAATTTCCTGTAAATCGGTAGTTACAGCTAGAGACTTGATCAGATTCAGACGCCTTTGTTAGTTTCGTTTGTTTGTGTAAGTAGTCAACATTTCATAGACTTTACGTAAAAATGCCGATTTTGGCTTCATTTGAAAATTCTCTACAGATCTCCACCCCCCAACCCACCCCGACCCGGCACGGGTTGCTCTGGGGCTGGGTAGCGACCACGCCTGTTCCCCACTTAGGTGGGACACGCATTATCCTGCAGACCCCAGTTCACACTACTTCCTGCCTGGCTCCCAGGAGCCTTAGGGCCCCTGTTGTAAACACTGCCTCTTCGGGGTCTTTGGTAGACCTCTCCATGCACCATCACAAGAGGACTTTTCAGGAATGTGGTGGAGAGTAGAGACGACTACAGTTCAGACAGACTTTCTTAAATGCTAGAAGGGAAAGCGATAAGCAGCCACATAAAGGGAGGCCAAGGGATACAAATTTGGTGAGTCCCCAGGATGAGGGATAGAGAGAAGTAAAGCAACAAATTAACGAGAGTGTTGCAAACATGGGAGACCGAACTAACGAGTTCTGGATTCCTAACCCCTGGTGGGAAACTAAGGAAGGAAGTGGGTTTTAAAAAGAGACAGACTTTAGTCTTTTTATACATTATGATGATATTGAAACCTTAAAAAAGGGGGGGCTGACAGCAAATGTTACATTGACCAACAGCCCTAAATCAGAAAGTGCAAGCATGTAGCTGTAGCCTAACAAATCAAGTGGGGGTTAAAGGAAATGAGGGTAGAAAACGAGGAAAACTTCCCGGGAAAGTCCACTAGGAAAGGACCAGAAGCCACACTGGAGATGCGGAAGAACTGGAAGATATTTCAGAAGAAAAGATCTCAAAAGTTGTAGCATTTTTTTTCTGATTTGCAAATGTATTGAATGGAAAGGTATAAAAATATAGAAAAACAAATCCCATTTAGTTGTTTTGGAAAGAATAAATCTTTACATAGAAGCATAAAATTATGACACGTTGGGATGTTCCTGGAGATTTCCAGATAGTTTCCCATACTCAGAAGCATGATTAAGAGAGAATCTGAGACTGGTTATGAGGAAGGGTGGAAAATTTTGAAGGACAGGCTGATTATGTAAGTTTTCGGCTGTGGTGTTTAAAACTGTTGCCATGATATTTTAGTTATTAATAACAATTTGGGGAAATCTACTCGCTTCTGGAGAAACATTTGGCTCTAATGAGAAAGAAATGCCACTGTTTGTGAATTCCCAAGTGGATGTAAGGAGCCATTCACTTGCTAAGCCTCTTAGGGAAGCCAGAGCCGATTTCACCCTTAACAAGCTGTTGACAGCGTCTGATCAAGGTACCACCTGGAACATGTTAGCAGCACAGAAAGTGGACTGTGGAGACAGACCTGTGTTTAAATCCCTTTATGTCACTCACCATGTGACCCTGGCAGCTCACGCATGGAAAATTTCTAGGGTATAGAGGTTGCTTTACGTTCATAGCTATGATTCTTACTGCTTGGATGGTAGGACCTTAGAGCTCTGAATAATTGCCTTCCACTAGCAGCCACAACAGTTTACACTTATAGAATGCTTACTATGGGCCAGGCACTTTTGTAGATACTTTGCATGTACTATCCCATTAAGTTATTAAGAAGCCCTACAAGGTAAGTGTAACATTAAAATAAGCCTCATTTTATAGATGAGGAAGCTGAGGCTCAGGGAGGTTAAGTAACTTGCCTAAAATTACCCAGCGAGTGACTCTGTAAGTGACAAAGCTGGGCTTTTAAACCCAGCCAGGCAGAATCCAAACGCCAAACTCCCTCACTTGACCACTTCCCGCCTTCCAATCTTAGGGAAGCACAGAGAGTCATGCCTCATACTGGCACTTTCCAACCCGTGGTTCCTAATTTGTGTGCCTCAGTTTTCTTGGAGGTCTCCAAATGGTTTTCACAGTTTCCAAAAGCCTCAACGAAAACACATAAACTTGCAATCAGACCACAAGTTTCTTTAGGTTGGAATCTATGATTGACAATGAATTGGCTCAGGTTTTGTAGAAGCTCTGATTGGCGGTTATTTACACAAAAACATTGTAGGGTTGTTTTTTAAGTGGGAAGATGAATCATTAGTTAATAAACACAGTTTAGTGGAATAGATCTTTCTAAACATGTGGGCTACTGAGAAAGACTAGAGGGTGCTTGGCTTCGAGAAGGTTGGGAACTGCTAGTGTACATGTGTGTGCATGTTGCCCAAACTGCCAGCCTTTATTTTTAAATTACATAATTCTTTAATTTGACTTTAAGTCAATATATTTTTCCTTGATTATTTAAAATGTTTTGCTAGCTGTGTATTTAATATTGTAATCTACTTTAGTCTTCAAGATGATAGGGTTCTTAAAGTATGGTCCGGAACGGAGATGCAGAATTGAAAACATTGTATTCCAAACTAAAAGCGGGATAACAGGCTTTTTATCCTTCTAAGTTGTAACCTGGGAGTAAATCTTTGCTCAAGAAAATTTTACATCAGACTCCTACTACCAAAATGCAGGGAACATGGGTGGTTTTGTTAAACAAAACAAAACAAAAAAACAAGCAAACAAAACCTGCACGTTAGTGCAGGAGGCTGATAGCTCCACAAGGCAAGCTTGTGGAGTAAGTGAATACTTTTTCAATGAGCAGTCCCAGAATCTTGGAAGAAAGATCCTAGCGGGCAGTCAGCGCCCTTTATTTGAGGAAGAGGACTGGGTCTTTTGCGTGAAATGCTTTTTTATACCACGTTGGGAAAATCGATCTAGGCCCCCCCCCCCGACAGCCATGGGAAAGCACAGGTGACACACTATTCCTGAGAATTTGATTACATTAAAACTGCATTTGACTTCCTCTGAATCCTGCCTCTCTGAAATGTGCAGGGCTTGGATGCCCTCTTGAGATCTGGATCTGGAACCCAGGGGCCCTTCTGCCGCCCCAGGCCTTGTTCTGATGGTGACAGTGGCCGCTGGCCCCCCAAACTGGGTTGTCCTTGGGCCAGGTTCCTAGCCGTGTTCTCCCTCGGGAATGAGGCGCAGGCCACTGCCCCTTTGCTGGAGTCTGGGGCCCCCGCGGGGCCGTCGTCGGTTCCTACCCCCAGCCCCCACCCCGCCGTCGCACCAGGTACGGTCTGGGCCTCGCGCGGCCGTCGTGCGTCCCCCGCCCCCGGTCCCGCCGCCGCCCTCCCGAGGCCTCGTTCTCCGCGCGGCGGTTCCCCGAGCGCCCGGGCCCACGGGCTGAGGGTCGGGCCGACCTCTTCCCAGACCCGCCGCGTCCGCTACCCCGCGCCGGGGGCGGGCCGGGCCGGCAGAGCCGAGCCGCCGGCGTCCATTTTCTGGGCGGTGCTGTGTGGCGCAGCGGCCGGACTCGCGGGTCCGGAAGAGCCATGGACCCCCGGGGGAACGCGCTGGCTCTGGAGCAGTCGAGCCCTGTAAGTGCCATTCGCAGGGTCTGTGTGCGGGGCTGGGTGGGCGAGGTGCGGCCTGCGGGCGCGGGGCCCCGGGCGCGACCAGCCTGACCCCTCCTCTTCTCAGGAAGGAGCCCCGAAACCTGGCTGGCAAAGGCTGGCGCAGGGCTGTGAGCTCCGCGAACGCTGGAAAGCCGAGCTGCTGCAGGGACCCAGCGGCCGCAGGTGCCCGGAGCCGGGGGCCTGCGCCTCAGCGGGGAGAAGGGGGCCAACTGCAGACCCGGGCAGGTGGCGCCGCATCTCGTGGCCCAACTGCTTGACTGTGCAAGAGGGCCGCGGGCGGGGGGAGAAATGCGCACCCAAGGGCTGGGGACCTTAGGGCTCAGGTCCAGCAGGCTCAGGAACTGCGCTGACAGTCACAACTCCCCTGGCTCCGGCCTGCGACTGGGACAGTCCCGACCCAGTGGGAACCTGATGATTTTCTTGGTTCAACACCAAGCCCCTGGAATTGAATGGGACGTGCAAAGGCAGGGCCCTGCCCCCAGGGGTTTGCAATCTCAGCCTCTTACTTCTGCAAGGAGTTGGGTCTGTTCTGTTGGTACAACACAACCGCCCGCTGTAAGCTGCTGCTTTGCAGGGTGTATAATAAATCACCCGAGATTTTAGTGTGTCCGGGATTCCACTTATTAAGTCCTGCTCTGCTGTAGGTAAGTGACTAATTCCATTCTGGACTGTGGCCCTAATTGAATATTCCTTTTAAGGATCCATTATAGATGATATATGTTATGGTGCCTTATACATATTTTAAAGGTTAAAGACTTTTCTCCCAGTTACGAAGCTCAGCTACTCCCGTTCGGTTCGCATGTCTAAAAAGCGGAGGAGAATTTAGTCCGTGGTTTCAGAGAAACTTCTGGTGAGGTACTGTATGTAAGTGTAGTGTTTTTCCAACAAGAGTAGGGACCCATTAGAAGACTGTGGAATCAGTTTAGTGGGTTACTACAGGAATTTTTTAAAAAGATATAAAATACGTAATTCAATATAGAAAAGAGAACAGAAAATATCAGTGCATTGCATATAGTAAGAGTAAGTGTTGTTTTGAGACTTTGGGGTTTATATAGTGTAATTTTTTTTAAAATGGTAGGTCACTGCCACAAAGTTTTTAAAACACTTGTTTACAGGTTAATAACCCAAGCTTTGGAGTCAACTGAACCTGGATTTAAGTCTCAGATCTTACATAAACTACCTGTGTGACCTTGAATAGATTCCGTGACCTTTCAGAGCCTCTTTTTCTGTAGCTATAAAGTAGGGAATGTCTCCTACATCGGAGGGGTATTATGAAGACTATATGAGGTCACATATGTCAGTATTTTGCTCAGTGCTTGACTTAGAGTAGGTGTTCAAGACACATGGTAATTGTAATTACTATTGTTGCTGAAACATCAAATCCTGGCAGCCAGTCATGGGACACTGTGCTTTTTCTTCCCTTCTTTCTTTCTTTTTTAGGTCTTGATGTGGAGGAGATGGAGGACTCAGAACCAAGAATTTCCGAGTGATTCCTTCCAAAGCACAAGAAACTGTTAGTGCTGGTGTGTTCTAACTGAGGTAACTGAATTTGTGTTTCTCCTTCATCTGTATGAAATAAAAAAGGGTTTTTCTGAGGGACTGAAGGATTCCCAAGGAGCATATGATTTGTGCCAGCGATCTACCAGATTGAGGGATTACAGAGTGACAATGACATTTAAGTGAACTGTTATTAAGGAGACAGGAGGCCCCTGTGATGAAGGGGGGACTAAGTGAAACAGGGCTTCAGGACAACTGGCCTATCATTCCAGTTCTGCCAGTGACCGTCGTGGGAGCTTCTGTAAATCTGTTCATAGATCTCTAGCTTGTCCAGACTGGAAGGGGCCACAGACATCATTGAGGCCCAGAGAGTTTAAATGGCTCTTCAGGGTAACCCAGTGGGCTGGGGCCCAGGCAGGATAACACTCGGATCTCCATTGCTCAGTCATGTAGCCAGCTCAGAGGCTACCGGAGGGAGAGCACCATGCTAGGCCCTGAGAGTACACATGTGAAGAGCCCACCCCCGGGATGCTTGCAGTTTATGTAGACAAGAACTGACAGCCCAGCAAAATGCTGTTTTGTTTTGTTTTGTTTTGTTTTTTAACTCCTCACAATACCCCTACAAGGTGTAAAGAAGAACAGATGTGAAGGAATAAAGTGTGAAAATGCAGACAGGTCATGGAAGGCTTTATATCTCATACTACATGTGTGGTGCACATTCTGTATGCAAAGCACAATGCTAGGACCACAAAGTTCAAGGCAAAGTGCTGGCCCTTGAGGAGTCTGCCGCCTAAACTCCAAAGAGGCAGTCAGTTGGGCAGTGCCTGATGTTCACCCCTCTTTCACCTGCCTCTCCAGCAGTCAGCGTGGGATCTGTTAACAGGAAGAGACCTGAGTAGCTGACATTTCACAGTTCTTGCCTTTTGATGCAGTTTTTCATTTTTTTCGAATTTAACCTATACTTCCATCTGATTACTAAAACTGATACTTTCAACTTATAAACAATAGTAAGGTCTTCTCCGAATTAATTCATTGATTTGTTCACTCAACAAATATATATTAAACTCCTACAAGGCACTTGGGTATTCAAGACCAAGCATACTGTATTTTTACAATCATGGTATTAATCATGTTCAATCTCTTAGCAGGGAATTATTTGTCCAACTGTTAGAGATTTGCTGTTGTTAACATACTAGAATATCAGCTCCAAGGAAGTTTGAGATTGACCCATAAAGGATATATAGATCTTTAAAAATCTTGAAATCCTAAGAAAGGAATTTCTTCTTGGGGCACCTGGGTGGCTCAGTTGGTTAAGCATCCAACTCTTAATTTTTGCTTAGGTCCTGATCTCAGGGTCGTGACCCAACCCCCATTGGGCTCCATACTGGGTGTGGAGCCTGCTTGATTCTCTCTCTCCCTTGGCCCTCCTTCCCCCCAAAAAGGAAAGGAATTTCTTCTCTTTTAAATTTTGATTTTGCCACTACTGTCACCTGCTTATAGAGGTCTTCTGTTTGTACACTTAACCAGTAGACATAGAGGAAAGCAGTTTGGCAAGGGGGCTTTCTTTAACTTGAAAGGCTCTCCTCTTCTAGCTTTGTAGGCTACTCAGGACTAGAAGTGTTCAAAGGTAAAGCAATTTAAGAGATACTCTAATTTACAGAGTACAAAGTTAGAGAGCTCCAATAATTGCATTAAGCAACAGAAATCAGTTTGTAAGTCTTGAATGCTGCTTGTAATAAACTTAACTCCAAATAGAACAAATGAGATGTTGAATGTGAATGTGCTTTGTAAACTTCTAGGAGCTCTATAAATGTTATACAGCAAATATTTATTGAGTGCCTACATGAGTACATCACTGTGCTAGAGGAAACAGAGGATTCAGCAGCAAAAAGATCTGGGTCCTTCCCTCTCAGACCCTGTTATGTAGATGAGGAAATAGCATATGCAGAACACCGTGTGGTAAATGCCTAAAAAGATAGTTTGGTAATTCGAAAAGGAAGAGGTCTCTTTTACCTCTAGGAGTCAAGGGACTCTTTCTTGAGAAAAGGCATTTATGCAAGTCCTTGAAGGATGTAGAGTTTCCATAAAAGAGATGGGGAGAAGGGGCCCCTGGGTGGCTCAGTCAGTTAAGCATCCTACTCTTGATTTTGGCTCAGGTCATGATCTCAGGGTCATGAGATCAAGCCCCATATAGGGCTCTGTGCTCAGCAGGGAGTGTGCTTGAGTTTCTCTCTCTTCCTCTCCCTCTGCCCCCCTTTAAAGTAAATAAATAGGGGCACCTGGGTGGCTCGGTTGATTAAGCGTCTGCCTTCGGCTCAGGTCATGATCTCAGGGTCCTGGGATCGAGCCCTGCGTCTGGCTCCCTGGTGAGTGGGGAGTCTGCTTCTCCCTCTTCCTCTGCCCCTCCTCTCCAGCCCCCCAACCCTGCTCATGCACGTACTCGCGCTCTGTCTCAAATAAATAAAATATCTTCTATTTTTTTTTAAAGATTTTATTTATTTATTTGAGAGAGAGAGAATGAGAGAGAGCACATGAGAGGGGTTAGGGTCAGAGGGAGAAGCAGACTCCCTGCCGAGCAGGGAGCCCGATGCGGGACTCGATCCCGGGACTCCAGGATCATGACCTGAGCCGAAGGCAGCCGCTTAACCAACTGAGCCACCCAGGCGCCCCTAAATAAAATATCTTTTAAAAAGATAAATAACTCTTTTAAAAAAGAGATGAGGAGAAGGCATTTGAGATAGGAAGAACAGCAGAACAAGAGAGCATGGACCATATTCAGGGAAAGGTAGTGAGTCCAGCTGAGTTAGAACTGGCCTATACAGGCATCAAGTGGGAAATAAAACTGAGAACGTTCAGTGGCAAACAATAATGGTCTTGTATGTCCAGCTGGGAAATACGAATGTATTAAACCAATAGGAGTCTATTGAATATGTTTGAACAGGGGAGTGTCACAGCTATGCATCAGGGGCAAGCTCTTGTGAGTAGCTCATGGGGACAGCGATAGGAAAGGCAGGGCAGAGACCAGTTAGAAGGCTCCCACAGTCCATCAGGGAAAGGGGGGAGTGTGGGAGGGGAAGATGTGAAGTGGGAAAGGAACAGATGCAAAGGAAAGAACACCATCTGACATCTCAGTGAAGAAGGAGTAACTAAAGCTGCCACTGAGGTTTCGCCCAGAGTGCTGCCGGTGAGGGAAACTTCAAAGGTGGATAAGGAGCTGCATTTCAGAGGTGCTGAGTTGGAGGTGGTGACAGCCCCCAGGGGCCTTTGTGCCGCAGAGGAAAGCTAGAGCTAGCTTGGGAGTCATTAGATACAAGAAAAAGTCAAGAGGTGGGAGAAAAGATTTTCTAGAGAGGGAATATAGGGAGGCAAAGGTTGAGGATGGATCCTTATGAGAAAAGAAGGAAGGACCTAGGGAGGACCCAGAGAGAAGTCTGGCAAGGGAGAAAGGAAGAATTGCAAGAGAACAGGACTCCAGCAGCCAGCCAGCAGAAGGGATTTCCCAGTGGAGGGAGCCGGAAGTGTCAGATGATGGCGGAGGGCGGGGGGTGCTGAACTCAGGACGCCATTGGATCAACAAGGGCTAGATCATGTTTGTTGGCACTTCTGTTTTTGAGGTAATATGACTTGCAGAATGAATATTAAATGGGTTCATTTCCAAGAATTTGTAGTTTGCACAAATCAAGAATCACTATTAAATTTGATCCTAGCTAGCCCCCCAAGACACTTTTTTTTTTAAAGATTTTATTTATTTGACAGCGAACACAAGCAGGGGGAGTGGGAAAGGGAGAAGCAGGTTTCCCGCAGAGCAGGAAGCCCGATGCGGGGCTCCATCCCAGGACCCTGGGAGCATGACCTGAGCCAAAGGCAGACGCTTAACAACTGAGCCACCAGGCGCCCCCCAAAACACTTCTGATTACTAAAAATACAGCTTTTAAATGTGGTTTCGATAGTAGTCATTTGTACACTTTATTCTGTGGTGAGCAGACAGACCAGAGAATATCTGTTGATAGGATAATTTCTTTAAGAACTACATTTCTGTTGATGCAAGAGGTTTGCTAAAAGTAATTTAATTCCTTTGCCTTTTACTAAATGGCTAATGTATGATGTATGTATGTGTGAGAGAGAAAGAGAAAGAGTGCGTGTGTATGTGTGTGTGTGTTTTCATGGGCATATGAGCTTAATACAATGGAATGAGAAGACTGGGGTCAGATAAATCTAGTTTCACAACCTCACCGGGCCATTTTCCAGGCTTGTGACTTCAGAAACGTTACTCTCTCTGTAAGTCTAACTTTTTCCATCTATAACTCAAATAAGATTATTTTGAAGATTGAGAAACATGTAATTTGGTCGGGATCTGTACCATAGTAGGAAGTTAATAAATGTTGATTTCCTTCCCCTTACAACCTTGTATAGGTATGTAAATTTCTGTGTAAGATGCCTCTATACACAAAGCCTTATCTTTATGACTCATTTTAATGTGTTGATTTTATCACGGAAAGAGCATTCCTCCCGCTGTAGCTAATCTATCCCGTGATAATTCAACTGACTGGCAACTAATATGGATAAGAATCCACCTGGGGAATTTATTAAAACGTGGGTTCCCAGGCCCGCAATCCAGAGATTCTGAGGGTGTGGATTTGGGGGAGGGCCTGGGAATCTTCATTTTAAACAGGCAGTGTAAGATGAGGATTTACAAGTGCCAGTTTCTGGGAAGCAGAGGATAGGGAAGACCTGAGCCTTGATATGCTGATTGCAAATCCAGTTTCTTTCTTTTTTTTTTTTTTTTAAGATTTTATTTAATTATTTGTGAGAGAGCGAGAGAGCACACACAAGTGGGGGAGCTGTAGGCAGAGGGAGAAGCAGGCTCCCCGCTGAGCAAGGAGCCGGATGTGGGACTCGATCCCAGAACCTTGGGATCAAGACCTGAGCTGAAGGCAGACGCTTAACCGACTCAGCCACCCAGGTGTCCCTGCAAATCCAGTTTCTATTAGAGATAGGTCTATGCCCCAGTGTTTTATATTAGTATCATTAACGTTTGTGGA